ACCCCACACACCTGGGACGGGTCAGTTGCCCCGCAGCCCCCCGTGACAGACTGGGCTCCCCCAGGGCCCAAGGAGCAGCGAGCAGGGCGGCTCCGTGCAGCCCCCCTGCACAGCCTCCTTCACTTGTGCCCTACGGCTCCTCCAAGTTTTCACCTGCCCGTTTCCTTTTCCCCCCACAGCCTCACTCGGCTGGAGGCGGCCGGCAGGTGTGGGGGTCTCCTGAGTCTCCCGGTGTCACCCCTTCTGTTAGTCTCCTCTCCCATTCGTGTGCTTAGTCCAGGCTTATTTTTGTCTTCTCCATCCTCTGTGTAATAGCAGTTTTCTTCCCTCAATGACCTGACTCCTCACAGGGTATACCTGTCCTTATCTTCCTTTTTTCCTTTTCTTAACGACCGTGATTATGTCTGTTTCTTTTTGGTGGTGCTGTATCTCCTCTGACAAAAAGAGTATTGAGGGAGAAAAGTTTGTCTGGTGGTGGAAGGGAGTAGCAGGGCTTTCGTTTGAAGTAAGAGCCCAGATAGAGTAGGTTATGGCTGGACTTTGTGGGCTTGCTTGTCTGTGTATTTACGTGTGCCATGGCTGAAGAGGTCCAGTTGGTATACGGAGTCATAACTCTTAAGAGAAGTCCACAAGTGCAGAACACTTAAACACTTTTCCTTGAATTCTTTTAGTGTTGATCACAGATGTAGAGTTTGGAATTGTAGTGCCTGAATTTCCTTTATCTGCTGAATTAAGGGAGCTTTAATGTTGCTAGTGCCGGGGGCCAGCAGTGTGTACCCTGTCTCCTTAAGATAGCTGATGAAGGCAAATGTTACAGCCATGGTTCTTCTCATTCCAGTACTGTTTAACCAAAGTTGGTCTGATACTTTCTAATCTTGTATAGGATTCTCAGCAGGGTGGTTATTTGCTTGTAGAACTGATCTTAGCGTGGCTTGAACTGGGGATAACTCAAGGCTGGAAAAGCTGTGCAGGATATTACACTTAAGTTACGATTAGTAGTACATAGGAAATTCTGTATTCTTCCAGAAGGGTATAGTTCACTGGTACGAGCTGATTATCTGCAAATCAAGGGAGTTACTGAAACTGATAATGTAGTTTGATGTACATGTATGGTCCAGTTGTCCACAGCTGGGTAAGGAGTTTTGTTTACAATGACTACCATATAATCAGGTTTCTTGAGTGTAACTTGGTACTTTCACTTCCAATATCTGTTATTATTAGAAATCTCTACTTCAGTAAAGGAATGAACTAAACCAGAAAATGTTGGCAAACAGTTACAATTTCTTGTCTTTTCATTAATGGAAATTAATTTATACACGTGAGTTTGTAGCAAACTGGTAACTTTACGTTAATAAATAGTCTGGATTTATTATGTTCTCCTGACTTCTGTGACAACTGAAAAGATGCAGCGCTGCTGCTGTTACCTAAATCTAGACAACATAATGATGATTGGAATTTTGGTTATATGTGAAGAAAAAGCTAAATAATTCATATCTGAAACTAGGCTTTAATTTTTAATTTGTTTTCATACTTCTGTTTTCTGGTTTTGAAATTGTCAGTTAAAACTTGACACTTAGTTCTTTCTGGTTTTATTTTTAGTAGCGAGCACTGAAAATCTGCTGTCATATCTAGCTCTTTACAAATTTTCTTGCTTTAAATCTGATTTCTTGTCTGTTGGCTTATTATTTTAGAATGGTCTTACTGGCTGGCCATTCCCAATATCTCTTCCAACTGAAATTCTTATGGTGGTTTATATGGTGAGGTTTAACAAACTTCCATTGTTTTTTGTAGTTCTGGCTTAAAAACTACAGAAAAGGCATTTTAGTCATCTGAGAATTAGTAGTACCCTAGTAAATGGTCCTTTTTTTCTTATCTGTGGCTTCTTTCAGCACACTTTACAGATGTAGCACATGAGTAATGGTTAGTAGAGAGAGGTGTGTGGGTCACCGCCTTCCCCCTCCTTGTGGTTGCAACTTTGACGGAATTATCTGAAGGGTCCGTTGAAAATGGATGGTGAAAAAAGGCGCATTATGTATAACTTAAGGTTTTGTTGTTGTTGGATCGATAACATGCTAAAATTTCATCCAGAGAACAATCAAATACTTGCTTCTAACATATCTTACTGTGTGGGTGTTCTGTCTATTTTATTTATGTGTTAATTGGAACAAGTGTGTTTAGATAAATTATCAGATAATATTCTTTCTGCAGAACAATGCATGGCATACACCTTGATAATGGTGATTTTTTTTTTTTTCTTCCCTCTTTTGGTCTTCTAGAAATGGGTCTGCTTTCAGAAGATGCAGTGCACTAGATGTGGTGCGTGGAACAGGATTAGTCATGGCATCAGAACTATGTAAAACAATCTCTGAGGCAAAGCTGGAAAGGCACAAGAACTTGTTCTTAAATTACCGAAATCTCCATCACTTCCCTTTGGAGTTATTGAAAGATGAGGGGCTGCAGTACTTGGAGAGACTTTATATGAAAAGAAATTCCCTGACCACATTGGTACGACAATCTCTTTATTGTAATGTTTACTGTCTGTATGTTTAGGAATTCTGATTTTTGGAACAGAAAAACCAAGATAATTTAAACAAAAAAAAATCTTATAGCCAATCTGATCCTGAATGATGTCATCCATTGTGAAATGAGTATTTGATTGTATTACATTTGAACTTGCATAGGTAATGTAGAGAATAATAAATGGAAACTTATGACAGTTTATGGTTACCCTGTTGAAGCTCTGTGAAGATGTGCTGGGGGCCTTTCTTGTAGGGTTTGTTGGTTTGTGGTTGGTGGTTTTTTTAAACTGCTGTGAATTCTGCTCATGTCAGTGGACAGGCCTTTCTACTGTTAGGTGACACTATACAGTCTAGTCTGTGTTTCTTCTGTAGGCTACTCAACTTTCACCTTGCTGTGTGTTACTTTAAAGGCATGGTCAAGCCCAGTTTCTAATTCACAGCTTGCTGTTCAGGTGCCAGTGAAAACTTGTGTCTATGGGCTGCTGCTGAGTGGAGAATAGTCAAATTCAGGGTTGTGGGATTTTCTGTTGTGGTTTCATCTTGGTTGGTTGTTTTTCCCTGAACTGACCTGAATGAATTTCCCTGAAATTCTCATCCTGAATGAATGCTGGGACCTCAGAATTCAGTGTGGAGTAATTAAATCACTGTGATCCATTCTGAGCTGGTAAGAGTCTCTGTAGAGAGTCTAAACTTGCCACTCCTAGTAGGTTCAAGTCTCCAAGTAATTCAGTCTGGTGTGGTTTTTTTTTTTTTTGCTTGGGCTCTTGCATGGGATGGTAGGTGAAATAGTAGCCAGGGCAGAGAAGCTGGAGGGCCTGGCTACATAAAATTCACCAAAATTACATGTTTTTCAGTGCCTCCTAGAAAACGTCCAGTACTCCAGTTTAAGGAATAGTGTTTAAAGCTTTGACAATGATATGTTAGGAATCCTCAATAAAGGTTTCACTTTGTGGGCCAAGAGCTGAAAATATTCTGAAAATTTTATACCTTTGCTTCATCTTGAATAAGACACTTAAGTTTGCATGTACTGCAGAGATTTATTTTGGCACTGTTTGGTTTTGGGCAAATCCTTCTCTTAATAATTTAATGGGAGGATAGGATTCCCGGTTACAAATTAAATCTGCTTTAAAAATTAACCAAGTACTGTAAACAGTTTTGCTTTGAGACTTTGTGAATTCAGTGTTTGTTTAGTGGTGTAAGGTTCATGAAGTTTGCACTGCTCAAAGGATGAAACCATGAGTTTTGCATATCAGTTTTCTTCCTGTATGTGTTAGAGCCTGGTTTTGTTTTTCTCAAAGCAATTATAAAATAGAAACCAAAATAAAGTCTTACAGGTAACAGTTTAGTTCCAATTTCTTCTCAATATCTGTGGAAATACCAGCCAATAGGTACGTAAGGTGGTGTACCCGTGATTACCATGAACAGGAGATGTATCAAATGAGGGAGGCAACTCTTGCCCTATACTGTTCAGTACTGTAATTGAGGCCTGGGATTCAGGAACTCAAACAACACTTAAAATGTAGATCATACTGGGCAAAATGAATTGCAAACAGTGTGAAGTCGAGGTTCAGAGTTCAAAATGATCAGGATAACTTGCTTGTAGTATGACTTGGTAGAATCTCATTTCAAGTGCGTGGCACTATAGCTAGGAACTAGGCAAACAAAACTGGGTTTGGTTCACTGAGCATCCATTCAGCAGAATAGATGTTTGAAGTTGTGGTGGACCAAACCAGCATGTTACAAAAAAGTCAGATGTCTTTGTGAAACTCTCTGTACCAAAAGCTTCATTAAAAGCAGAAGGAAATTATTATTGGATTTTGTTAAAGCATAAGCTGGAGCAAAGGTTGAGTCTGGGGTTTCATACTTATGAATGACCTAGGTAAAGTGTAAAGAACCTAGAAAGCAGCAACAAAGGGTTTTTAGGGAATGTGCCCTATGAGAGAGGATTGAGAGTTTTAAGTTAATTCCTCTTGCAAAAAGACAAGCAGAGATGTGGGAGAGCAGAAATTATCAGTATTTTTACAAAGCAATATTTTCATTATGATTTTTTTATTGTCCACTGCTGGTAGGACAAGTAATACTGTTTCAGTGAAGTAGTAGTAAGTGAAGTACCATTGCAGGGGGCTGGGAATATGTAATCTGACAGTAGTTGAAACCAAATAGGTTATTCGAGGAAGATGTCTTTCAGCTTTGTGCTCCTTTGGTTCTATGTAAGATGATAAGAAGTAGCTCATTAATAAATACTTTAAATTGTATATGGATTATTAGCAATCATGAAAACTAAATCTGCACCATATTTCTTTCAAATTAGGTGGTACTTTTGTCCCACCAGTCCTAATGAGCTTTTGTTCTTTATTCTTCTGAAATGACTAGTCCTTGGCAGATGGCTTCTATGAAAACATCTGCGATAGTCATGCTGACAGAATGTACACATAGCTTGCTTAAGAGTAATTTCACTTTTGTCTTCATTGGCAAGATGGAAATGATTGAAGGCCATGGAGTGGATCAAGAAGCTATATAGCACATCTGTATCCCAGCATCAAGTCTTCCAACTTCTGCTTATTTAATATTTGACTGGTATCGTTAGCCTTCCAGTAATCCTGTTTCCCCATCTTTTAAAAGAAAATACGCGTTTGCCTTGATGGCACTGCCAGAAGCACGATCTTGCCATATCAAAGATAATTGTTCTTAATTCACTAACTCGGGATACGCAGAGCTGTCCTGTTCAGACAGACCGGCAGGTTCACCTTCTGTCCAGTGGGTGTGAGGGCAATGCACGTTTCCCTAAACTGGTGGCAGAATTGATGATTCATTTATCATTGTTGTCATGTCACCAGTGGACACCAGAGTTAGTTTTGCCTCTCAGTTGATGGATCACAAATAGGGATTTTTTATCTTAATTATGTTGCAGAATGTTGTATTGAACGACTTTGACTCAGACCCATTGTTACTGTAGCACTCAAGAAGATAAGCAGAATTTCTATTACAGACTTGCCAAACTGTGCACTTGTCTCTCTCCCGAGTTTAGCTCTATCACAATATGAAGCAGTTAAAGCAAGAATAAGAGTATAACCTTCATGTACAGTGTACAAATAGTTTGTGATTCAGGTTAGAATCCTGATGGTAATAATGTGGGTAGGATGACAGTGAATTTATTTTTTCACGTTTTCTCTTTCTAAAATTAAAGCTGGAATTTTTTGTGCTTGAGCATGTTGCAACCTTTGCGTACTTTGCCGGCTTAAGCTTTTCTCTTTGACCAAATAGAGTTCTGTGCCGAGAAGATGGATGTACCTTGGCACACCTTCCAGTAGGTGGCAACAACTGATTAGTTATAGCCTGTTTCTTGCATCTTGATGTGTACGGATTCATTTATTGACCCATCATTTGCTGCTCCCTACTTAAAAACGAACTAATTTTTGTACTCAGATGGAGGATGTGGCATGTGTGTTACATGAGATTATTATGACATTTTTTCACTGCTCCCTACTTAAAAACGAACTAATTTTTGTACTCAGATGGAGGATGTGGCATGTGTGTTACGTGAGATTAATATGACATTATTTTTTCAGGTTAGCGTATTTATTTGTAATAAACTTATAAACAGAAAGTTAAGTATTTTAGGTGGTAATATATACCTTAAATTTTCATGATGGTGAATAGGTAGTGTTTTTTTAACACAAAATCGACTGTGTGATTGAGCTGCTTTTTAAAATTTATGTTTCTGCATATATGTGAATTGTAAAAACATGTTTCAATAAAACATATCTATGTTTAAAGAAGGCCTCTTAAGCAATAAAACTGTCTTACCCTTGAATAATCTTCAGTATGGTTACCCACATGACATCTGACACTCGTGAAGCTGATTTTGTGATACATGTTCACGGTTAAATGCCATCAAGAAACAGAATTGCAGCTAGGGATCAGTTAGCAATTAGAAAATGATATGCATGTTAATACATAAATATGGAAATCTAGTTTGATGGATTCAGCATTTCTGGCTTGGTGGCAATTGATTGAGCTACACAAAGTTTGTAGGTCACTTCCCAGTTTAGCAGCATTACAAAATAAAATACATGATGGTTAGACATCTTGTATAGTTCTTGTGCAGTTCTTCTGCTTTAAGTATGTAAAAGCTGCAGCTTCTTAGCAGTCTCTTGGCTTCAACTAAGCTCAATTATTTGCATATATTTTCAGCAGTTTTTCAGGTTTTTGTAATCCATTTTTTCAGCCTCAGAAGTCTGACTACTATTTGTTTGAGGACATGCTAATGTCACTTCTAGGCTGTAGTTCTGTTTCAGTAGCGAATTGCTCATCCTTGCTATATCCCAAGTTGCACTGATGGAGAATGTGCGGGGATGTTGAAATAGTATTGTATACAAGCTCCTTGTTGCCACTTTTATTGTGACTAGCTCCTTGACATGTTTTAGTATGATTATTAAAATGAGTTGGGTACACAATATGTGTGTGTCTGGTTTTTGTTTTGAAACCTAAAAAATCTCTAACTCTTTTTCAGCCAGAAAACCTTGCACAGAAGCTTCCAAACCTCGTGGAATTGTGAGTTTGTGTAGGAGTTCTAATATATTTTCTTTATGCTGATCTATCTTAATGTATTTCTGAAATTTATTGCTTGTACATAACCTACCTCTTAAGTTTGAAGGGTTTTCTTGGAGGGCAAGAAAGAGTACTTTTTGTTGGGTTTTTCTTTGTGTTTTTAAGGACGTATATCATGTATTCAGTCATGCTAATATTTTTTATAATTTCTTGGTTTTGTACTACAAGAACTGTTATACAAATGTCTGCGCTGCTAAGGGAAAGCATACTTAACCCCCCCCAACTGCTGTGTAGACTACTGTCACCCTGATAAAGCACGGGAACCTCCAAATGCAATGGTCAGATGGATGTGACAGAGCCAGAGTAACAGGTTACTGCCACCAGCCCATCCCTAGTTGCTCACTTCCAACTCAGCTACTGGGGTATCCTGATCTTAGTCTTGCTGACTGTAGTTTTTTTGTAACCAAGTCACAGATTGTTCAGGAATGAGCAAATAGGGGGAGTAACTAATTAAATGGTTGTTGTAGACAGAGTAGTTTATCCATGCTTGTCCAAAGAATGGATGCCACAGGAGCTCTATTATTTTGGGAATCAATGTCCGGCTGTAAGCCCCTCAGTCATTGTCGTCTTCCTTCCCCTTTTTGTAAGGCTATGGTTTCCTTGTATGGTAGGATTGGCTCTGTGTGTGTGTTAAAAGGGATGTCCTCTTTTCCCCTTAAAACTCACTTGGCTCACTTCCAGCGGAGTAACTGATGGATCATGGATTTTGTTTATTTAATGGAAAGCTCCAAACAGGAGGAGCTGTATATCTGAGTAGTCTAATGCATTCAGCTGTCTGATCTTGTCTTAATTTGGCCCTTGAAACCACACCTTTCTGGTACACGCGACCACAGCGTAATTGAACTGTTTTGTAGGTCACTGCAGTCTCTGACTTGCTTAAGAGACAGTCTTGTCTCATCATGCCTGAGTCTTGGGAGTATGTTTATGCTCTGAAGCAATAAAATAAATATTTTTCTATTTGATATACTTGGTACTTAATGATTTGCCATAGGGCATCAGGAAATGTCCGTGTTATCTGATGGTGCCTTTAGGAAAACCTGTTAAAAAAAAAAAAATCTTAAAATAATCTCCTATCAAGACTGAATTGTAGGAGTCAAACCTATTTTTTTGGGGTTCAGCACGCTTAGTTGTGCCACCACTACCCCACACATTCTGGTGATCTTGAGAGAAACGCAGTGGGCCTGTGGTTTGTGTAGCGCTGCTAGTACAAGGCAGCGTTTGATCAGACTGTAAGAGATGTTTTGTTGACAGAGATGACAAAATAAAGATCTAATTAAAGAATAATTTGTTACAGTAGCTTTCAGTTTTGAAAGACAATCTTAACTGATTTTAATTTTCTTGAAAGTTCCATTCTTAGCAATGTCACTATATTTTTTAGAACTTCACTACGGTCTGTTTCTTTATATATCGTGTCCCTCATGCTGGGATACTAGGTGTAGATCCTCGTAATACACATTTTCTTAGCTTGGGAAAATAGTTAATACGTATTTTCAGGAGTTGCAGCGGAAATGAGGGGTGTTCTCGACTTGAGGTGTATATATAAGGATTTCTACAAACACATCTGCTATCCTTATGTTTGTTATGTTTTTAGTAAACTTTAAATGTCTGCAATTTTTAAACAAAAAGGGAAGGCAGTTGAACTGTTCATATGTCTTTTTCCTTGTTCTGCCTCTGTCTCCTCGAAAAGACAGGCTTCTACTTCTGGAAATACTGTTTGAATAGAATGGAGAAAAAGAAAGTTGTGTAAATAATTTCCATCTGTGGCTAAGGAGCTGAACATTAAGTATTCAGTATACCTTTGCAATTAGATGTCGACATTTGAAAATTTTCTTAGTCTAGGAATGTTTTTTATGTTACTGGTAGTACCAGAAATGCTCCAGCAGAGTGTGCTGAATATTCTCAGTGAGATCTGAACACCCTCATTGCTTACCTAAATGACCAGGTGTAAGGTTGGGTTTTTCTTTTGAAAAACGGTACTCAAAAGTTTCGAAACCCCAGCTGTAGTGAGTAAATCATGTGCTTGTTTCTTCACTCAGTAAAGGTGTGAGTTTTCTATGTGCAGTGGAAACTGTTTGTATATTGTGTGGGTTTGGGGTTTTTTCTTTCCTTGCCCAGCATGTAGTCATAATATGCTGATCAAATATGGTTCATTCTGTTTATTCTGTTTTCATTCTTTTTCCTTTTTGTTTTCCTCTAACAACTCTCAAAACTGAATCCCATTATTATTATAACTGTAAATGTTTTGTTTTAAATAATTGTATGTCATTCTATTTTATTTTTATGTTAATCTTTTAATAGTCTAAGTGTAATTTAAGTACCTATCCACTGCCAGTTAATACAGTTTCCACAGCTTTTGTGGTCATAGAGAGGAATGGCTTTGAGGGTGCTCTTTCAGTCTGAAATTGGATATTTTGCAAACTGATTATGTAGCAGAAGTCCTTGAGGGTAACAGGTGGTGTCCTCTGCTTTTTTTTTCTCCTCCCCCCAGGTACCTTCATTCAAATAACATAGTTGTTGTACCTGAAGGTAAGTAATCTACCAGCTCACAATAAGTGGCAGGAATCATAAAATATTCATTTTTCTTCTTTGAAGAGGCCTGTTTTTCCTTTATTTTCCCATAAAACATTAAAGATTTTAATACAAAATATACCAGTGTAGCTCTTAGCCGATAATATCCTTGTTTATGCTATGTTAAATTATTTTAATGAATTCTCAAATGCTCTTTGCTTCAATTATAATTGAGTGCCATTTAGCCTTTTTGCTTTCTGCATCTACAGAAACAAAAATCCAGAGTGCTTTCTGCTTTCAGCCAGTTACCACACAGAATATTCTGCTGGTTTAGATCATGACAGTTTTGAAACCTAAAGTATCAAGAGCTTCAAGGAAGTTTCTTTTCTTCCCTTAATTGTAGAGTTATGTGCCCAACTTCAGAAAGTATTTTAAACTCTTTCTGAATGTATAAAATGGATAGGCTCAAAGCGAAGGAATGGAGAAAGTGATTTCATAGCAGAGTCTTCTGAGGGAGAATCTAGAAATGGGAATAATCTGTGCATATGTGGGTCCCCATCTCACTGCCAGCAGAAGTGTTTGTTAGGTAAGCACTTCCACAAGCTATGTCATTCAGTTGAGACCAGCTTTAATACGTCAAAATCTGCTCAGACATAGGTTTTAGGTACTGTGGCTTTTTATCCTCTCATAGTCCTATTAAGATTTTAACAGTACTGTTGGGTCACATTCATGTGTTAATCTGTTCTCTCACAAGCCATTGGCTCCCTCGTTAAACTGCAGTTTCTGGACCTAAGTGATAATGCCCTCGAAATTGTGTGTCCAGAGATTGGCCGCCTGAGATCTTTGCGTCATCTTCGCTTGGCTAACAACCAGCTGAAATATTTACCTGCAGGTAAGTACAGATGTGTGAGGGATTACAGCAATGACAAATTCCGTTTGAACTTAATTTACATGGTGATCTGCTCAAGGTTTACTCGTATCTTACAGTTGAAGCATGGTACAGGTTGCATTTAAAGACTAGGCAGGGATTGCTGTTGGATGTGTACTAAATATACTCTGTAGTTAGAAAAAAGCCACACTCTAGGTACTTAAGGTAAAGAAAAGTCCTGAAAAATCCTCCTGAAGTTGGAAAAATATGTCTGTTTTAACAGTCTTTGTCGTGGTATCAAGAAAATATTTAAATTTCCTGAGAAGACACAAAATGCCAATGATAACTGTCATTATGATAAAATGATGTTTCTTTTAATTTTCCAGAACATAAAGAATTCCAGTCTTTCCTTTCTTTTTGCCCAATGACCCCATTCTTGTATTTTCTAAAAACACTTCTAGTCGGTTTGCCTATGGCAGTTCTACGTCACTATGACATTAAATAACAAATGTTTGTCTTGCTAGTTTATAATAAAAAAGCAAAATTTAGTCCAAGTAAACGTGACACAGTCAGAAAAAGTTGGCCATAGGCACATTTTCAATGATTTTTTTTTTGCCTTCTAAATACTTTGATAAGCAGACATAACATTATTCTTCTTCCATTGCCCTTATATCTTTCCAGCTAACATGATGCTGATTTAATATTTTTTATTCATTTTTCTATGGCATATTTGCATTTTCTGATCTTCAGAGATGATAAAAATCTCAGGCCAGCATTTCAAAAAAACTGATCTAACCTAATCTAACAGGATTAGCTTTTGGCTCTAATTTTAACTAACTTCTCAATGTGACCTTCATGTGTTTGTAAGTTCACATTGATTATTCTCAAGAAATATATTGCAATTGCTCCTTGAAGTTTTGGATGCAGAAATCTAGTAGTCCTTTGCTTGTACTTTCCTAGGCATAACAAACCTAAGTCAAAGGATGATTATGATTAGAAAGGAAAAAAAATTATGACTATGTAAATGCTCTGGAAAGAAATTAGATAAACCTGTTAAACGTTATGACCCAAGGCCAATAAAATTTCCATCAATTTTCAGATGTCCTACATTCAAAAGAAAGGAGTGACTTGAGTGTGCTTTATGTTCCTCAAAGATAATTTACCTTATGGTGCTGTACCATGAAAGAAAGACTTGTTCAAAGAAAAAGTGACACATTTTCTGTAAAACTTCACACATTAACTTAAAAAGGTTCCAAAAAAGACTTTCAAAAGGATAATTTACATTACTGAAGAGCTGATTTTGAGTCTACCAAATTTGATTAGGAACTGGTATCAGCTGCATAGGCACGCTGCGTTTCCTTTCTCCTGAAGTCTACAAAATTTGGTATTCAGCATTGTCCCTAAGTGCATTTAGTTCTGTGTGCGTGAAAACCTTGCGTGTTTTGAAATAGTAGTACTCTTGCCTATTTTTGAATTGGAGAATCCAGTGGTGTCTAGTCCTTCTGGTTTTGCTGGTAGTGTACCATCAGTTTATCTGTATGTACTGCTGTCGTTACTAACCCTGCTGTTCGGATCTGTCACTGTCAACGTGACTGATGTCATACAGCTTGAGTCTTACCAGCCCGAGCAAGAATAATCTTTCGCTCCCACTGGAGAGCTGCTCTACTGCATGGCGTGTTTCCTAAACATAACACTTTGTGAAGAGGGCTTAAGAGCATATTTTTCAGTTTTTCATTTTAAAATTGCAAAGATTTCAAAGGTGACTGCAACAAAATCTTTGCAATTGAAAATTGCCTTTATGTTCAACAACTGGAAAAAAAAATCAATAGTAAGTTTTGATGAATTGTTTTATCCTTAACTACATCTGTAGCATGACTCTTCATAATGGTGTTCAGTAGCGTTTTGTCAGGAAAGCTAGCAAAATTAATAAAATAGACGAGGATGAGATGTGATTTCCCTGCAGTGCCTTATTTCACTGTGTTAACTGCTTTCTTCACAGCAGAAACTGCATTGCGAGGGAAAGACAGCTCTTAATTGCTCTTAATTTATAATAATAACCATTTAAGATACAATTTAGCTTCTACTGGTGCAGCTTGTGCAGAATTTCAACGTCTGCATTAAAGAATAGCTTTCACATATAGGTGATGGTCAATTATGGAATTAACTTTTCAAAACACGTGACCGTCATTTTATTCTGGCCTTAATCCTGCACGTATCACACAAATGGCAGTGAACTGTTTATCAGTGAACTGATCAGTATTCACCTTGTGTAACCAGATAGGCCAACTTGCAGCACAATGATGTCATCACATAAATAGCTTGCTTCAGAGTTGTTGCCCTGTCATTCCTTCTGTCTCTGCCTTCCCAGTGCCTGTTGTTATAACTACCCTCAGTTTTTGTTGAAACAACATGCATGTTTAGTAGGATACTCTTAATAATATCCTTCATTGCTAAAAAAAAAATCTCTTCATTGTAACTGCAGAACAGTTGGATGGTAAATGTTTGCCTTTACGTGTCTGGACGCCCATGCTTTTCTGTTGCATTTTGTATTTTAAGAACAACTCTCTGTTTGTCTTCCGTAATTGTGATTAAGAACTGAGACAATGCAGTTAATAACGTATGTTGATTCACTGTCTATTTTCCATGTTTTTGTTCCACAACTGTGCTCTTCAAGATCATTTTTAGTTTTTTCCTTAGAGAAATCTAGCATAACTCTAAGCCAGTTGAAACAGTATGCATAATGAAGCTCTACAGATTTAGGTCTTCAGTCTGATTGTAGACATTCTTCCAACTCTAGTGAAGGTTGAGCTGTGCTGCAATTTATCTCCTATGTGATGGACAAGATTTTAGTGTCTAAGTACCTGTTTCCATGAAACTTGTGAGAATTTCATAATGAAGACCTCTCTCCTTATTTCAGGTGTGATTATGGTTGTTCAATTGGTAGGGAAAAGTTACTTTGAAGGAGGAGAAGGGGGAGAATGTATTCATGCTGTCTGCATGTATTTTCATCATAAACATTAGTTTACTGGAGAAATTGGGCGATACAGGACTCAGGAGGGGAAAAAGGGCATTAGATGAAGCATGGAAATGGTGTTCCTTGGAGATTAGAAAGCACTTTCTAGTCTGTGGCACTCCTGTAGTGTAAATGACAATCCTACCTTAGCAAACACTACCAAATCATTGTCACCCACGCTCAAGATCATGTACTTTGGCCTCAAGGCACTTTGTTTCTGTGCACTACCACTGCAACAATGCGACTTCCATCGTGCATCATAAACCTGGTGTGAGAATTGTTTAAACATGACTAACCTAAACTTCATGAGAAACAAAGGGAAAAATTTCTCCAGAATAAGCATATTGAAATTGAAATATAATATAAAATGGCTGGAAGAACATGCTTTATGAAATTATCTTGAAGCCATGTTTTGAATGTATTTTTGGATAAGGTTAGTGAGTGGACCAGCTTATGCCTAATGCAGAGTCATCAGTACCTAGATCCTGTAGTAATCAGAATCACTAACTGAGGGACCCTGTCTGAGAGGAAGGCTGGTTAAGAGTTGCAGATAAGTAAGAAGATGAGATCTAATATTATACATTTCTTTTTAAAAGTGCTTTTTTTAAATTGAAATGCACAGCATTTTTTGTTCTGCAAACTGTAAATCTTGTGGCTTCTGTCTTTAACTGTTTCTTGGCTCTTTTATTTGGCTGTGGTATATTTAATTCTTGGCGATGGAGTAAAGCTTTTGTATAGTTTTCCACTATGCAACTGTAGCACTTAAACAATCCCAATTCTTGAGGGCTGTTTGGAAATATGTAACACTAGAGATATTATTTGAGAAAAATCTTAGTTCCAGCAGAAACAGAAGATGGTTATTATTTCCTATTATTACATTAGTTCATTTATAAGCTTGACTTAGAGTTGACATTAGGTTTTCATTGTAGCTTAACCTTATTTTTTTGAGTTTTCTCTTTATTCGGGGTATTGATGTCTCAGTCTAGAATGGTAGAGTTAGTCCTGTATGACTGTGCTGTCAGAAGTAAATTTTATCAATCTTCTCACTTATAAGTGACTAATTAGAAAGTTTCCCTTTGTTTCTGATGTGTATAATGCATATGATAATTTAACTCCTTTCATTCTTGAGAAATTGTATTTATCTTCTCTTTGTGTATGAATTATTGCATCATTTGCAGGAAAAAAAAATCCGGTGAGATGTACTGGAAAAATTATTTTTCAGGAGTCCTAAAGCCAAGGTTACCTCTCAGTTTTTTTGCTGCATTATCATTTAAATTTGATTTGACTTTAGCCCTGGTGAACTTTTGATGTGATGATGGCTCTTCAGGTCTTGTAGTTGGTGAATGCATGTTTGGACAACAGGTAACTTAAAAGAGGGTGGGTTGTATTCAACGTTGGACTTAAGTTTCAAATTTGACAAGGATTAGATTTTTTTATTGCACATTACTTGATAAACACTTCTCATTAGAAGTGGCAAGTTGTAGCATCGTGTTCTAAGATTTAATTAAAAATGAGGTTATGTTTACTCAGCACATGTTGGAGTTAATTATAGATTTACTAAAATGAAAAGTTTAATGTTTTGCCAAGTCAAGAGCAAAAGCTAAGTAATTAAATAAAGAATAGGGTATGGTTTATGATCCCAGCCCATCTTTGGCAAAGTTCCCTTCAAGAAGGGGAAAAAAAAGAAGTTATCAGCAGTTGTCTCTACATGGGCTAGACCAAGTTTCCCTTTTTGTTTGTTGTCAGAGAATTTTGAAAACCAAGAGTTGAGCGTGTTGATCAGGAAAAAAAGGCAGTAAAATAATACCAAACTTCATGTAAATTGTGTGATGATGTTTCTTTACTCTGTCAAGTGAGAGTGGAGGTGACTGCTGTGGCAAAAGGGAGGGTACACATCTCTGCAAGAGTCAAAAGCAAGTTTAGCAAATGCCCTTTTCGTCCCCATATAAGGAAACCTGTGGCTTCCATCTCAAACTGACATTTCCACGTTGTCTCTGGAGACCCTGCCTCT